ACCTTTGGTACTACAAACACAAATTTTCTGCATAATTTCCCACATTGCAGTGTGTCAAACTAACCTCCCATAAGACTAATCTACTGCTCTTTGAAGGATACAATCCATTTGAGGCTATTATAAAACATATTCTGTATAATCTTCCTAAATTTTCTGCACAGAACAATTTCTCATTAAAGTTTTCAAAAACTAAATTTATAATTTTGAGCTCACTAATTACACAGCAAAAACAAAGCCACACAATTATTTGGAAAACATAACCAGTCAGGAAACTAAACCATCATGAAGTGTAAGTATCCATGAAGGAGATTAGAACAGTTTATTTCTTGATGAATTATTGATAACTTGATGAGTATTCTAGTGATGCATGGGTTTTCAACATATTATTGAATAAGTGGTCTGTAAGTACTGATCACCTGAAAGCAGCACTTAATCAACAAATACTTGATTACCTACTGTGTGTCAAGCACTGTGCTAAGTAAGTACCAAGGACAAATAATATCAAATGGATCCTTTTGACAGTGTTTCTGGAGAAAACTATACTCATGGTACCCGGATTTCAGCAAGACAAAGGAGAAAAATGTGCCAAACTGTGGCACAGTAAAAACAACTTAAAGCGTCAAGTGTTAACAGCTACTTAATAGCTATGTAATCTTGAGCATGATACTTCACCTCTTAGGGCTTCCTCTAAAAAAACATGAGGCAGTTTTGCCTAAACAGCCAATGTTCCAAGATATTATTTCTTTAATTAAAACACACACACACACACACACACACACACACAATTTTTGGAGGGCAAACTTGATTTAAATGCACAGGCCTTTTAATCCAGCAATTCACAATTATACTTTCCTGATTCTATACTACAGAAGTATTTATATACTACTATATAAAGTCACATAGGATGTTCATCAGTGTTATATGTAACAGCAAAATAAAAACAAACAACGTAATGTTCATCAATAAGGGAAAGGTTAAATTAACTGCAGATATTTATATAACAGAATATTTTAAAGAAATTAGGTACACCTTTATGTAGATAATACCCACAAAATGGTGTTAGCATGTTGCAAGTATTTTTTTCTCAGTTTGTCTCGTCTAAAATAGGCTTGGGAGCCAGACGGCCTGAATTCAAAGATCTGCACCATGGTTTCCTAACTCTTCACTACAAATTTCATAATCTATGTAAACTTCAGTTTCCTCCTCTGTTAAATGGAAATAATTACAGAACCTACCTTAGAGTATAATTGTAACAATTATTCAAGCAAAACCTGACAAGTGTAAGTGATCAATAAGTGTTAGGTATTATTTCCCATTAAGCAAAGCTTTGTTGGTGGTGGTGGTGGTGGCAATAGACTAAAATCTATCAATCTTTTCCTACTTCTTGATTTTAGTTACCTGAAGTAATCCTACTAAAAATAATTTTTCCCCTCATATAGATAGCTAATTCTTGCCATTTCTCATGCCATCTATGCTCTTGTCACTAATTTGAAACGCCACCTTTATCATCAGCAAATTTCCTATATGTGCATAAGTCCATTTCTGGCTTCTAAACCAGGAATCTGCAAATATTTTAGGTCAGACAGTAAATGTCACAACCAGTCGACTCTGCCTCTGTGGCACAAAAGCAGTCATAGATGATATGTAAATGAATGAGCATAGTTGTGCTCCAAGGGACATGAAATTTGAACTTCATATAATTTTCATGGGTCATTAAGCATTATTTTCTTCTTTTCCCCAACATTAACAAGTGTAAAAGCCAGTCTTAGATCATAGGCTATACTAAAATAAGCAGCCAGCCATATCTGGCAACCCCTGCTTTACACTTCCCCAAAATTTTTATACTTTAAAAATTTCACAAAATAAATACATGTGATAGAAAGGTTAAACATCATACAGGGGCACAAAACCCCAATCCCTGCTGTGAGACAGTAGGGAAGAAGAGTGGGTAACAGTCAGCAAACATAACACATCTTTCTATAAGCTCTCAGAAGAGGCATACTTCTTGATCATCCTCACTGTACAGATGAAGAAACAGAGACCAGAGAGGAAAGGGTTGCTCTGTATTTGCCAGTCCTTTGTCCCCTAACTGACAGTTACTTCTGTCTGGCTCAGGTTGCCCAGGACTCTGCCTGGACACTCCTACCTTCAGGATCTCTGTTATCTCTGTGGTTATTTCTTCTTTTCCAATTTCTAATGCCTCCTGGAACTCCTATTAGATGTATATTGGCTCTTGTAGATCTACTTTGCATGTCGTGGCTAGTCTTTCCTACTTTTTCTTTTTTGAGGCAGTTTCACTATCAGCCAGGCTGAAGTGCAGTGGCAGCCTCCACTGATTGAACAGCTGGTACTACAGATGTACACTACCATACTGCTAATTTTAAAAATTATTTGTAGTGACAGGGTCTCATTTTGTTGCCTAGGCTGGTCTCAAACTCCCAGGCTCCAGCAATGATCCTGCTTCGGCCTTCCAAAGTGTTGGGATTATAGGCATGAGCCACCACACCCTGCCCTTTCCTTTTTTTTTTTTTCCCATGGCAGCCAGTAAGTGTTTAGTAGGCATAATACCTTAACAAATTTGAAGTATTAATACTTATTTTAAAGTTTTCTTCTATCTTACATTAGCTCCACTGCTTCGGTGCCTAGTTCTTGTGTTTGTTTGGTCTGAGGCGTCTCTTAGATGCCACTGATTTCTCACAAATGTTTAGGGATTTTTTTTTGTTTGGTTAGTGATTTTTGTTGTGTGTTCACATTTTAAATGTGCTAGTATCTCCATCCATACGGAAATCACTGTACTCCGGCTGTAAATTTACATTTGTAACTAGCCCTATCACTCAATTTTACAGTTATACCTAGTACTTTTGTAGCATGACAATAACAATGTTAAGTTCTTTGACTTGCAGTCCATGATTCTTCAATCCACTTTTAGTCATATCCTTTTGGTATTTCATTTCCCCCCAAAAACCACTAACTTGAGTAGCACAGTTCTTACGTAAGTGTTAAGCCAAACTTCATAGTCATATCCTCACTAGCTCTAACAGACTTGTCTAACAGTTAAACAAGCAATGACGGTCGGACAGATGGTCATAAATGTGCAATCCAAGGGATAAATAATACGGTAACAAATGAATCACTTAAGTCTTAAATTCATAATAGTTATGCTTTTTTAAACCAACCTTGAATGTTATATTAAAATAATAAATTCTATTACATTAAAAAAAGACTCCATGTTAGTTAAAATGTAATTTTCTGCCTATGTCATGACTTAGTCATTTACAGTTGACAGAAATGCATACAGATGCTTACCAAGACATTTAATTTACAAAAATGTCCACAGTATTATTTTGAGACTGAGTTTGGCTCTGTCGCCCAGGATGGAGTGCAGTGGCACAATCTCAGCTCACTGTAACCTCTGCCTCTCAGGTTCAAGCAATTCTTCTGCCTCAGTCTCCCGAGTAGCTGGGATTACATCATGCCTGGCTAATTTCTGAATTTTTAGTAGAGACGGGGTTTCACCATGTTTACAAAGCTGGTCTCGAATTCCTGACCAACTGATCCACCCACCTCGGCATCCTCAAGTGTGGGGATTACAGGCCTGAGACACCACGCCAGGCCCACAGTATTCTTAATATCCGAAATACATCATATACAAAAATTAAGAATATAAATGTCCATCATCTGAAGAGTAGTCACATATTATTCAATGGAATATTACACAGCAATAATATAATACCATGAAATAGCATGGGTGTGTCCCACAAGCAATATGCTGAGAATACTATGCAATTCCATTCACATGAAGCTCAAAATAAAGAAAACTAAAAGCTGATGAGAGAAGTCAGAATACAAATTGGAAAACAGAGATATAACTGACTTGGAAGAAGCACAGGGAAACAGGATGATGGACTGTTCTACGGTAATAATTTGATCAATCTGGTGGTTGCACAGGGTAGTATGTAAAAATTCACTGAGCTGTTCAATTAATATTTGTGCTCTTATTGATTTCATATGTATTTTTTTGCCTCAACAAAAGCAAAGAGAAAAACGCAGGTTCTAAACTGGTTGGAACTCTGCTTATTTAGGCCAAGCTTTTCTGAGCCACAAATATTGGAGATCCAACATCTTTTTTCATTCTTTTAGTCACATGACAACTTTAAACAAATGGTACTGGAATACCATTACAAAACGAACGCTAACACTCTCAGGCCTAAAATACTTGGCTTCTCACTTCCAAGATCGAAACTACTATTTTAATACAACATTCAAAACCCAACATTAATTCCACGAGACATTAAGGCCCTGTTCCTGCGAGCCTTGAATGATGGTGAAACGTCACGACATCCTACATCTATTTAAAAAGCACGCTAGAAAATGCCTCCAAGTTTAACAAGGCAAGGGCTCAGGAAGAAAAGCTTCAGATGTATAATCGAACTGTCATACCGCCAATACCATGATCACAAATAAAAGTATCACTGTGGTGCTTCCTGCGTTGCTCAGAGATAAGAATCATTTTTAAGGTGCATTCTCTGACAATGCCAGAGGCTCCGCGTCTCCTCCGCCCCACAGAGCCCTTCGCCACCGAGCATCTTTACTGGCGCTCGCTGTGCCGCCTGCAGATAAAGAGGGGCTGCGGGCAGAACTATTTTAACGCGATGACTAGGTCACCGCTGACCAAAAAGTTTATCCACTGGAGGGGCAGAGACGGTGGTGAGTTGGTTTAAAAAAAAAAAAAAAAAAAAAAAAGGCCAACACTGACATGCAAACCAACGGTCTCCGGCAGCACCACACTCAGAAAAACACCGGGCCTTCCCCAAAACCGGAGCCGACTCCGGCGGCCTCATCCCTAAGGGACAGGGACCCCAGCAGAGCCCGTCCGCGAGGCGACCCCACCCGACCCGACAGGAGCCCGCAGCCCCGGCCCGCGCCCCGACGCCCGCACTGCCTGGGCCCGAGCCGACAGGAGTCGCGGACGGGCGGGCGAGGCCGTGCCAGGTACTCACCCTGCTCGCCCGCTCTGCGATCCACCGCCTCCTGAGCCGCCCGCACACCCGGGAGGCGCCCTGCGCCCTGGGGACGCCACCGCCTCCTCGGCCGCCCACACCCGGGCGCGCCGCCGCGCCTGAGCGGCCACTTCCGGCGCGGGTGAGGAAATGAGGCCGCCGTGCGCCTGCGGCCCCGCCCCGCGCGCCCGCGGCCCCGCCCGGGAAGCTTGACCCTGGCAGCTGGGTACCGATTCATCGTCGACGGGCTTAAAGTATATGTGCACGTGCCTCCAAAAACCATTTGTGGAGGCAGCAGAGTGCCAGACGCAGGAAACCGCTCCGGCCTGCATGCGCCCCTGCCGGGTCTCGGACTGCAGCGCTGCCCCGCCCGGGAGCCGGTCCCCGGGCGGGGCCGCGGAGCCCGCGTGGGAGCCGAGCCGAGGACTTCGGGCACCGGAGCTGTGGAGCGTCCTCGGGCACTGAGCCGCCGGCGGCCGCGGGCGCATCACTGCTTTTCCCTGGAGGAGTTCCCTCACGTGTTGAATGAGGGCGTTGAGGCGGACACGCTGGGAAATGGCTTCGAGCTCACACACTGAATTTCGTGTGTGGGAAAGAGAAGCTCTTTTCTAGGCGTCTAACATGCCACTGCGTGTTCCAGGGACCTCCCCGGGCACTCTGACTCCCATGCCACTCCGAGCATGGCCTTCGCGGGCAAGCAGAGGCGCCGCGGCGCCGACAGCCAGCCGTGGTGGGCGCCGGGCACGGCACCGCGGGCTCGCGGGGGAGGGTACGCTGGGAAGCCCTCCGGAAAGACGAGCGGCCGCCGAGCAAATTCCCATCGGCCGCGCACCGCGGAGCCTCGCCTTCCGCAGCCGCATTTTCTTTCTTTTTCCACCGAGTCCTACAGACACTGGGTTTCCTTTCTCATTCATGGTCTTGTTTTCTCCCAGGATCCTTCTCGCCGGTCTAACGGTGTGGCCGCACGTCTGGCACACGCACGGCGGGCGCTCCCCGAACCTCCGGATCCTCCCGAGCCACTGGGCAGCGGGCAGGGCCCTCAGCTGCGGCGGGGAAGCGGAAGCCCGAGAGGACGCCGGGCAGCTGCTCCCAGACGGCACCTGGCAGGAGATTGAAGCCGCAGGGTCAGAGTTGCCATCTGTTTTAAATTGCTGTTTGAATCTTCCATTAGAATTGTTCTTATTTATTCATATTTTTTTTTGAGACAGGGTCCCGCTCTGTCACCCAGGCTGGAGAGCAGTGGAGTGATCACGGCTCACTGAAGCCTTCCCACCTCCGACTCCAGGTATCCTCTCGCCTCAGCCTCCCGAATAGCTGGGGCCACAAGTGCACAGCACCACGCCTGGCTAATTTTTATTTTTATTTTGGTAGAGATGGGCCCTCCCCGTGTTGCCTAGGCTGGCCTTGAACTCCTGGGCTCAAGCCATCCTCCAGCTCCGGCCTCCCAAAGTGCTGGCATTATAGGCATGAATCACCCTGCCTGGCAAGAATTGTTTTTAAATGCACTGAGGTTCTCCCATCAATGGATTTAAATTGTTACTTTTTAATGATTGTTTTAAGTAGCCAAATACTAACTGCATGTAATTTGAATTTGGAGAGAAGATAATGCATGATTGAAATTACGTGGCTGATCATGGGTGATACCACTGAGATACAGTTGTAAAGTAAGTAGTTCCCCTTGGGAAAATACTAAAGTACAGCTACGTTGGGTTCAATATCAGAAAAAAAATGTAATTAAAAGCATTTTCCCCTAACAACTTCCAATCTGATACTTTAAAAACCCCCAAAACTGTGAAAGTTTCCCGTCCTTTTCCAGCCTTTAAATCTCTACCAAAAGCAAATGATACTGACTGACTCCCCTGCTGTAGCAAGTGGTGAATAAATAGCCTTTGTTGGTTCCCAGAGTTTTCCTGGTGGTCCCATGGTAAGTCTGTACTGCTTGTCCCTGAGGTCCCCAGCCTTCCACCCGTTGTGGCTCCCAGAGGCCCCTCATACTTCCACATTCTCTGCCTATCAAGTGCGCCAGTGTGGTTAAGTCAGCACTGGGTGCTAACCTCATTCTACGTCGAGGTCTCTGGCTATTTATTCTCAGTTTGGTACTCTGGTTTTGCTACTGATTCTCATTATCCGGCGTCTCTAGTGGGATCATCCCATTCTTTTTCACCCCTTTTCACTGTATTTTGTGTTAATGTTTTGTGTTCTGCTCTCAAGAAGTGCTGTTTGTCATAAGAAGGAAAACCACAGGGAAGGACACAGGCATGGGCCTTGTAAGTCTCTTGTTTGAGCTGGCCTCACAGCCCATGAGTTAGCAATTCTCATCACACCAGCATCTACTTGGACAGACTTTGCCTTGGGTTTCCAGTAAAACTGATTGAGATTCTCCTATCTCACTTTCATGTCCTGAGAGACACAAACATTCCATATCTCTCCAGCCTCACCAGCCAACATTCATAGTGTTGCCTAAGTTTAAATCTTCTCCTCCTCCAAGAAAAACCACTTCTTACATATACTCTCTTAACAATTCCAATTCTCATGCCCATCTCTGAAAAGCATTAAGTTCACCAAGGTTGATTTGGTGAAGATAGTACTTGGAGAACATCTAACTTGAATAAAATTGCTCATTTGAGAAATGCCTTAGAAACAGAAGAGAATAAAATTTCTCAGGCCCAATGGGCAGCCTTTTTTGATTGGTAGTCAGAGGTCTTCAAATGATATTCTGATTCAAAAAATGCTTCCCCGAAAGACTCTTTGGCTAAAGCTAATGAGCGATTTGGCAAATTTAAGCAGCAGCAACCTAGACTCATTTTCCTAGTAAGTTATTCTCCTGCTTGTCATCCATTTGCTTCCTAATACAGCTCTCCCTCTTCTCCTTATCCTTCTGATCTCTTTCCTTCCACATATCTGTCTACATTTCCCTTCTCTTCCTCTTGTCCAGATCCCTGCCCTTTCCCAACAACCCTCCTATGACCCCCCAAATGCCAGCTGCCTCTCGGAAGGCCCTCCATGAGCCCCATAGACAGACAACTGTGGAATTTAAACCTTAGACCCAAGCTAAATTAATAACTATAATTCAGGGTTTCCTTAAAGCCAGGCAAGATTAGCAACTATTCATAAAATAATTAAGAATACCTTGGCCAGGCACTATGGCCCACACCTGTAATCCCATCATTTTGGAAGGTGAATCATCGAGGACTGTCTGAGCCTAGAAGTTCAAGACCAGCCTGAGCAACATAGTGAGATATCCATCTCTACGGGGAGGGAAAAAAAAAGCCAGGCATGTCTGTAGTCCCAGCTACTCAAGAGGCTGAGATGGGAGGATCACTTGAGCCCAGGAGGTCGAGGCTGCAGTGAGCCATGATTGCACCACTGTACTCTAGCCTGTGTGGCAGAGCAAGACCTGTCTCAAAAAAAAGCAGCAGGGTGAGCAGTGTTACCTAACTCGTATCAACTTGTACAAACATTCATCAGAACCTTGCGTGCTAAATCCTGAATGGCAAAAGTTGATTAGACTCCCCTGGAAGGGAACCTACAGGATCCTACTGTCCACAATAAAACAGGAGTTAACAAAGAGGCTCAAAACATAGGGCAAAGTCTTCTAAAAGCCATTCCTCAAACATTGCCCACCAAAAAATATTGAACCATAATCTGGTGTCATGCAAACAAAAAAAAGAGGAACCTACAGGTTTTTTGGGATAGGCTAGGAAATACATTGTACCATTTAGGAGTCTAGAAAGTAGCCCTTTCATCTCTTGTTGTCAGGGAGCTAAACCTGAAATTGTAGACCTAATTTAAAAAATGAGAATGGGAAATAGCTCTTTAACCTGAACTGCAACACCTGGCAGACATTTTGAAAGTGATTTAGAACAAAAATAAGAACCCAAAATAAACTTGTGATCCTTTCAATCAAACAGCTGGGTGGCCCCTCCCCAACTAGTCAGCTACTGACAAGGGCACTTGTAGATATTGTAAACAGAAGGGACACTGGGAAAAAGAGATTGTTCAATCTTACAAAACAAAAATCAAGACAAAAGGAAAAATCCCTCACTTCAGATCAATGAGGTGCATTGGGGAAAAGAAAAGCACCAGTATCCTGCAATACCTTTAAATACCTGCCACGCATTAACCATACATACAGATGGTGTGTTCATTTCCTAGGGTTGCTGAAATGATTTACCACAAACTGGTTGGCATAAAACTAAAAAAATACATAACATCACCCTTGGTTATTCGGCACTCTAACTGGGGGAGTTAGTGACTGGTTTATGCAAACAATCAGAGCAATGTTCTCATCTGTGGGCATCCTATTGTCATAAACTTATCACTAACCCTGGCAGAAGTCATTAGTGATGCCACCTCTTCCCTAGATGGGGCACCTATCAGTCTCAACTCATTGACATGAGTAGTGATGGACAGTCTCATTGCTGTAGATTTCTTATTGGTTGGTATGGACTCTACCACTGCTAATACTACACCTGGATCAGTGAAACAGAGAAGATAAAACAGGCCACGCATCACCTTGAGGCAAAACCTATTTGGCTTTTGCCTTTTTTGGTTGATCCTCATGGCCTATGTGGGATTTACTCTTGGCCTGCATTGGTCAGGTGAAGTTTGCATTCAAAGCATCTACAGGGACAGTTGTTGTTCTTTCTGTCATAGTGGTCCTGATGCTGTTCTACTGGATCCTATTCTAGTCAAATGAGCACTACTACGATGCTACAACAGCAGAAGGATCATGACCAAAGAGACAACTGAATAATCTCTGAGCAGTGAAGAGCTGAATCTCTAGACTTGAGTTCCTCAACCTCTTACAAACAAGAAAATGACCAAAAAGGGGGACCGAGAGACTGAACATGCAAACAGACAATCGCCAGACCACATATGGCTGGAAGATTTAGACCAGAATCTCTGCAGAACCAGCCAGGAAGCCAAACCACAACCTCTGCAAGAGTTATCCCAGAATGGTTAGGACCTTGCCAGGAACTGAAGTTTCCCTATTTTTTTTTTTTTTGCCGTCTGAATTAAATAGAGAAAGCCATGTGTGTTCCACAAACCAGTCACAAAAGAGACCCTCCTGCTGGTTATCCACCTGCCGCTTCCCCAGGTCAAGCAGCCCCAGTCACAG